AAATCGAGTTAAAATGTTGCAGTTTTTAGTGAAATACGTAGTTAAGTACAGACTAACATAACATTAACGTGGAATTAATATGGATTCTCCATATCGTTTGTACTGTAGAATTCACCAAACCAAATTCGCGGCATACATCATTTTTTTTCCTTCCATTTTCTATTTCACGAATCACTTTAACTTTCTCTTCAATGCTTAAAACTTTCCTTTTCATTGCCATGTTTTCGCTACTGCACTTCTCTGGGTTTAGGCAGGAACACTATATGGTAAGTAGACAATATGAGGTCCTGTTAGACGAGATTCTAGGAAAGGAATGCAGTTAACAACCTGCCACGTCCTCTTGCACTATTCATGCAGTCCCACCCCACACCCTTGTTTTCGCATAAAACCCACGCTCCTCTTGCAGCCCGCGGTCGTATTCTTCCAGGACAGTCACGTCAGCAAGTAGAGAAAGTGAGGGTGGGCAGACACATCGAACTTTCCTACGATATCAGAGAAATTCATGAATGAAAATGACGTTACATACGAGGTTGATGCAGTTGTGCATGTCGTACTACGCAAGTTATAAAAACAGTTGCTTTATGAGGAATTCGTTCGTACCATTGAATATTTGACGCAATAGACAAGGTGTCGCAGAAACCGATGTTGCTATAACCAAGTTTTACTGTATTTGCAGAATTCGCTTCCCACAGCTGTATCCTAGCAATATTCTTTAAAAAAAATAGGAAAAATAGTATCAGAGTTGGGGAATTAAGAGAACTTAGTGTAAATATTATACTTCTCTTGGAGATTGGTTTATTTTTATGATGAAACTTTAGAGCCAGCCTTTTATCCTATGTTACATCTGACATGCTGACTGTTAAATTGATGTGGGACCTTGTCAGCTCAGTAATTTTTGGTTCTGAGTCCTGCAGGACTCATGACCATGTTTTACTAACAGCTCTGGGGACCTTCAGACCCTGCCCCTAAGTCACATCGGAGAAGTGGCATCTAATTTTCTACATAAAGAAAGGACATTGAATATTTGGTAAACAAAGTGGCAATTGATATTCGTACATAGTAAAACAGAGTGGATGGTCCCTGGAAACATGTGTTATTATCATCGTCTTCTGCCATTTATTGCTCACCTCCACGAAATACATGGTCTTACATAACAAGTACCTGAAAGCAACTCTTCATGTAATGCCCGAAGATAACCTTATTTATTTTTTTATTTAAGGCTACCCAAAAAATTGTTTTCATCTTTCAGAACCAAAGTGATTACTAAATATTCTTTGTGAGGTGTATAAGTTAAAATTAGTAAGCAGTGTGTTATGTAAGGGTGTTGTATACTTTAGAGCAATGTGTATTTCTGTAGGACACCAATATGAAATATGGATCTGTTAGAAAGTGTCAATAAAAATTTTTACATAAATTTCACGCTGAAGGAGTTCCCAGTAGGCAAACAATCCGCAATTTTGTGAATAAACTTAGATCAGTGGGACTGTTAATAGACACGAAACAAAAACATAAGTGCCTAGTGCTTACTCAGGAAAAGTTAGATGACATAGGAGACAGACTTGAACATGCATCTAGAAAATTACTGAAATGTTAGGTCAAGAGAGCTGTGTGTCAAAGTCTAGTGCAAGAAGAGCAACACAATTGCTGAAGCTTAGACCCTAATCCATGCCTTGCAGCTGCATGATCCAGCTAGCAGGGTTCATTTTTGAGGTTGGTTTCTACAGTCTGCCATCGAAGATGAGATTGAAAGCAATTGATATTCTTTTCTGATGAAGCATGGTTTCACCTGCAGGGATACATAAATACACAAAATAATCACTACAGAAGTTCAGAATATCCACATCTAGCCCACAAAGTCCTGCTCCATCCAGTGAAAATTGGTGTCTGGTGTGTTGCAAGTGCAAGAAGGATTGTTGGACCTGTGTTTCTTAATGAAACAATGAATTGCAAAAGATACTCATATCTACATGTAGACAGACAGCATTTTCAATACTTCCTTGTGACCTGTGAATTGTAATTACTACATTCCAAATGTTAGCAGCAAACAGGCATATCAATTCATCGGCAAAATTCTTATGCACCTTTCAGCTGGCATGCTCCAGTCACCATGGATTGCTGAGCCGTAGAACCCGTCATTCATTCATCAGTAATCTCTCAGACAACAGGTCCACAGTCTCTTCCAAAACAGTTCCTCCACTTAATGCGATCTTCTGTTTTTGGAAAGAGACTATCCAGGAAAAGTGATAATGTGGTAGTTTTTCCATTTGCTTTCCATTTGCTTTGCGTTCAAACCACTCTGGTCACGCCTGTTGCTATACAAACTTGAACCATCTCGAGCATCATTTGCTCTGTGCTTCAAGTCGCTGCTGATGACGCTACTTCCGTCATCAGTTTTTGGTTTTTGGTGTCTCTCTTTGTCTGATGCCTACCCTTTGACCTGTCCAGCAAGGGAGGCTCTGCCAGTAGCTACGCTACCACTGGTATAGCTCTCAGGGACTCAGACCACTAGAGAATCCATACCATATCTAGGTGAAGTCAGCAACAATGATAGAAAATTATTTGAGTTTTGTAGCTGTACTTTGAGCAAGGAGGGGCAATCTCTTGACATAAATATGCTGTATAGGAGGAATAAGGCTGTGGGATTAGTCGATAGACAACCACTTTGGAAAGTTTGTGGGCCCTGAAAAGGGTCATTTGTTCCACCGCGGTAAATAGAGTTTTACAGCCGTTCAGCTGGTCTGTCTGGACCGGTGATGTAGGGCTGTGTGCGCCAGTAGAAATAGATGTTGGCTAAGGTTGCAGCAGCTGAGTTAGTTGTCCGGTCACAGTGCGGTAGTTGCCGGAAGTTGCCTGGTTGCAGAGTGTGGTTGCTGGAAGACGTCTGGTCGTGGAGCGTGGTTGCTGGAGTGGCGGCAGCTGCGCCAGTTGCCCGGTATGTTGGGCATGACCACCGGAGAGCTGAGGTAGCCATCCCTGATGCAGTGAAGAGCCGATGACTCCAAAGACCGATCGCTCTGGACTAAGTGTGATGGCTGACTGGCTGATGTTGTCACTGATGATTGCTGGGTTGGAGCTGCGCCTTTTATACCAAACTTGTTGGGCAGAGCTTGGACTTGTAGTTGTTATTGTGAGTGCTTATTGGCTAGCGCACGTGATGGTTACAAGTGAGGTAGACAGCGAGTGCTGTATAAATGAGTGGTGGCAGCAATGTGATTGGTTAGCATGCGTGATGGTGAAAAGTGAGCTGGACAGCAAGTGCTGTATAAATATGAGAGCTGACAGCAATGTGCAGAAATGTGCTATTGACTTAGGAGTGAGTGTTGTCCGTTGATCGGTGAAACAGCGTGATAGTATGTGGGATGTTCCCACAAGGCAACAATTTGAATTAAACAAAATTTTCAGAATTCATGCATTTCCTGAAATCTAAAATATCACTAAGATAAATGTGTATTTCATTTGCAAAATATTTTTCTTTCTTTGTCTATTTAATAGTGTTATCAACTTCAACAAATCCCAAATGGGAAGTAATAAGACAATTATAAAAATAGTTTAAGGCTGTCTTGGTTTATTTTGAAGTCCTATCCTAGTCATATGTAAAAAAAAACAGGAGTCCATGTTTCATTTCAGGTCAGTAAAAGGGAATTTGAAATTTCAAACATATTGCTTCAACCAGCATTTCCAACTATACCAAAAACAAGAACTTGCAAATGCTTTCTTCCAAGACCATGTAATAGCATCCACACTACAAACAATGTCACTCTCTGGTTCATGGGCTCCAGTAGGTAAGTTACTAACAGTTTATTTTTAAATTTGTTGTAAGACAGTGAAGCTTGAGCAAATAGGTGTAAACCAGGCCTTACATTAATATACAATCTGTATCTATTAAGCCATGGTTACTGACCTTCAACATAGATGCAACTTTGTTAGAATGTGATTTATTATAAATGGCAACGATTTTGGGAGCCCATTATATTGTAGTGTATTTGCTTAAAGAAGAATTGTGGAGCCAGAGAAACAGCCATTGCTAGGTAATGCCTAAACACAACAATAGATGAATTGTTACAATACAAGATGCGATGCATACAGCCATTGCTATGGAGCAACTGGGTAAGCACGTATGTGGTGACACCACTCAACAATAGAAGAGGTGTTGCAAGCGGCGTTTTATGTGGGCCTACCCTGCGGCTACATAATGAGGACCTCACGCAACTAGAAGCAGAATTGAAGAAAGCAGTCTTCTGGGATTTGCCACCATGTATATTTGGTGTTAACCGACGTTTCGGAGGAACGTATCGCCTCCATCTTCAGGGTAGAAGGGAAAAATATAGGAAATCCGCAGGCGAAGAGACCGTGCTTTTACCGGTTCTCACGGTCTCTTCGCCTCAAGATTTCTTATATTCTTTCCTTCTACCCTGAAGATGGAGGCGATACGTTCCTCCGAAACATCGGTTAACACCACATATACACGGTGCCAAATCCCAGAATACTGCTTTCTTCATAGTCACCGCCGTTAAAACCTCAAATCTTACATAGAAGTAGAACTGAGTCAAGTTCTGGAGTTGGCAGTTGCAGCAGAGAATTGAGAGTCATCAGATGAAAGTGATTGAGAATAATAAAAAGAAATGAACTAGACTGTTCAAAGAAGACTTCATATGTGATTTGAAGTTACGGTGATACTGTTATGAATCCATTGCCAGGAAAAAAACTAGTGGAGAGTGTAATAGACTGAGGACACTAGTGTGTGTGTGTGTGTAACAGCATACTGGAAAGTGGAAATAATGATAATGATGTACTTGCCTGTAGTTATGAGTTGAATATATAGTGTGTCAATAAAGTCAATCAGCCAATACAAAACCCATCTATAAGTTGCACACACACCCTATACACATGGCAATATATATCTTCAATTTCATTAGAAACTCATAAGCCACTGTACCCATACATCATAAATTCATATGGTGAGAAATAAACAGTATGCTTACAGATTATTATGTGTCACACACGTGAACATGATAGCTCTGTGAACTTAGAATGTTCTTTGAATTTCCAAGTATATCTACAGCATTAAATAATAAATAAATAAAGTGTCAGGTTTGGTCCAGCTGACACTGGTGATTGTTTCTGAATATTAATTTTTTCTGATCTGATGTAAGATGCACCTGTTTCACCACTTCAGAATTCAATTCTTTGAGCATTTCCTTTCTTTTATTAGGTATTGTGGCTACATCTGTTGATGTAGAACACATCCCTTGCTCTGCAACAACCATGGCCATATTCAGCTGTCTGCAGGATTCATCAAATGGCATTGTTAGAAGTGATGGGTGGATTGTGCAACGTCCATATGAAGAAATTGATAACTACACTGTAGCTGATGAGCTGAGAAATGTGAGAACCAGGCCTTCCTACAATAGTAAAAGCTAGTGAAATGTCCATTGAAAATTCAGTGGGATAATTTTATAATTCCCATGCCTAGCTAGGGTTTCCATAGATATCCCTTCCATTGATTCACTGTTATGCATTATAGCCCTTGAAGAACACTTTAAGATCATGCCACTGAATATGTACAATGTGTACACTTTTTGGTGAAAGTTGAGACTGCAACACAATGCTGCAATCTTTTGACCCTGTTCATAACTACTACCAATGATCCCGTATAAATGGATGACACGTGCATAGTCAATCATAAACCATATTACATTGTATATGCCAGTATATATATATTTTGTTATGTGAGAATTTTCTATGGAGAATGTCCTTTGTGTGGACAGAATATATATATATATATATTACATATACATAATTTTCTGGAGGCGCCTGTTTGTCCTACATATTTTAGTGGGCAGTCTTGGCGTTTCATTTGGTAGATGCCACTTCTGTTGTATTTGTCTGTTCCTGGATGTTGTTTCATTATGTTTTGCATGCTAATTGCTATTTTTATTTGTGTGTCCTTGAATAGTTTTACAATTTTTCTTGTTTCTTTTCCACTGTATGTGAAAGTATTCCATTTTGTTTTCCATTATTGTGGGTCAATGTTTGTATTCTGTTTTTGTGAGGCTGAATGATGGGAGAGAAAAGGAATGCATATAGCATATTGGTGGGAAAGCCAGAAGACACCACTGGGAAGACCAAGGACTAGGTGGGAGGACAATATTAAAATGGATCTTAGAGAGATAGGATGGGGTGGAGGGCTCTTGTGAACACAGTAATGAATCTTCGGGTTCCATAAAATGCTGGGAAGTTCTTGAGTAGCTGCAGATTTGGCATTTCCTCAAGAAAGGCTCAGCTCCATAAGTATGTAAGTAAGGATGATTATTTATTTTGTTTGTATTATAATTATTGTTATGTAATGTGTTTTTTATAATGTTTAGTTCCTTTTCTTTGGCTTCTTCAGATATTGGGTATGTGTTTAATCTATTTACTAAGTAGTTGATACTTGATATTATATGTTTATAATAATCCAAAAAAATAGCTTCAAGTATTTTATAATCATTTTACATTATACATAAAATGAGAATCACAACAGCGTAACAATAGAGCAGTAGTTGTCTTCTACATCTACACCTGATGATGGCCAGTTAGGCTGAAATATATAGTGTTAAATAATTAATAAGAAGGGACAAAGAGCCTCTGAAGTGTGAATTTTAATGTCTGCACGAAGTTGCACATGGATGGTGAAAAGAGAATGCTACAATTGGAAAACACAGCAAAACAAGATGGTGCAATATAATATTATGTTGCAGACAGCCTCACACCTGCCTTTTCTCCAATCAATTTGTCACCACTTGCACATCAGATGAAGTCAGAATCCATGCCCTGATTCTCCAAAGTTTCTACACAGTCAGTGTGCCTGCTTGACAACTGTGGTAATTTTAAGTTGATGTATGTTATTAACAATACACTGAAGCCCTACTCTTCCTGACTGGTTAGGTTACAAGGCTTTCTCAACTCAAATAAATTTTGTACATTCCATTCTACTTTTGGAAAAATTTGCAGGTCTCTAATTATGGAGGTTTGCTCAACAGTATCACAACAAAGGATTTTAAATTGGAGAACATTTAGACAATGGGACAGTAAAATTAAGTTATTATTCATTCAAGAGGAAAGAATGAATAAAAAATCAAATTATCTCATCTTGGCTGTGACAACTTTGGCCATTGCTGGAACAAAAAGGAGTTAAATATGGAGATATGGTGTTTTAATTTCGTATTTTAACCAGAGAACAAGTTTGATGATCTATTCACATTCAGAAACTGTCACAAAATTAGTGTTGGTAGATTCTGGTTTCTAGAAGATTTTGTCACCCAACAGTTTATGCTCAAAAAATATGCCTCTATATCTCACTCTGCAGATTTGAGTTGACACTAAGATGATAACACAATTATTTATGTTATAATTAATGTGAGTATTAAGATTTCAAACTCTTGCAGTGAATAAATCTGCTAAAATCTTCTCGGGCAATCAGCTGTGCCAATGTACAGTTAAAAACCACCATTCCAGAGATCTCCATAATCAGGGTTGATGTGGTGAATGACCACACACTGCTGATATATACATATACATCAGTCTTTCAAATTGAGGCCTCATCCTACTGGCATACTACACAGCAGGAAGGCATATTCAAATTATGCAGTAACTCATATGACTATAACCAGTCACCATGTTGTTTAACCTAGTGTCTCTGTTGTCTATTGTTTTGTCTTCTTTTTTGGCATGCTCATCCCTGTACTTTTCTTCTTGGGAGTTTCTTCATCTATGTCTGTTAGAGTGCTTTAATAACCTGGTGCCAGGATTCCATGGTTTTCTAAGTTTGAACTCTTTCTCTCTGTTAATATTATTTGGGTGTAATTTTATTTCTAATGCCTCTTATACAAGTCTGATGTTTGGGCGAGTATTTCTGTCTCTTGAAACTTGATCCAGTGGTCTGATGCAATGCTGTTTCTGCCACTGCGGACTTGTCTGGCTGATACATATATACATGCCAGTCATGTTCGTTGCATCTTGTTTCAAAGGATTGACCTGTCTGTTGTATATATATGAGTACTTTTCCACATTTTCATGGAATGCTGTAAACCCATGAGGTCAGAAAAATCTGATTTAGAACTAAAAGTATCATGGGAGTGTTTTAGTCTTCTAGGAATAAAATGGTGGAAAACAAATAGTAGGTTGAACCTGATCTATCTCCTTCTTCTTTATTATTGTCGTTCTTTTGGCCTATTTCAGGTGCTACTAAATCATGACTGTCATAACTACAAGTTAATTTCAGAGGCCCATCGTGAGGAATTTCTGTTTCGCCTTTTTAAACACTTGTGCCTTGGAGGACAGTGGTGCCAATATGAAGATAACATCAAACCATATATTAACACAACAAAAATACTGTATAAGGATATTATTAGGTAAGCACAGCATTAATTTCATTTTAAACGGCACAGCTTTATTACATTAGGGATGTGTGTGCGTTCAAGACAATTTGACAGGGTAAGGTTTCTTCTTAGGATAAGTTGTCTGAAATAAACCACCAGATCACCTCCAGGAAAACTTTCTTCACCTGTTGCTACAGCTTATTGGAGTTCTTAAAACTGATATACAATGTGGAAATTATAACTGTCTGTCCATATATTTCATCTGTACAGCTCCTATTCAAATTTTATGGAATTTTCTATTACAAATATGCACTAGAAGTTGTTACACAGAACTAATTTTGTCATCAGTCTGATCATATAATGTGGATGCTAATGCTGGCATATGTATACACTGACTTCCTTTCTGCTTCTTTCCTGAACTCAATACAGATGAAAAGTAATTCAAAAAGGATGTCAGCAGGTGCAATCATAATTCAGATAAAAAGATAATTATGGTACAAGGGCTTCCAATTTCAGATTTTTCCTATGTAAGAAAGTTAATGGTGTTGTGAAAGGGCCTTTACAAATTTCATAATGAGTTATTCCATGCCAAATAAACAATTGCAGGGTGCAGCTGATTTCCCCCCCCCCCTTATTTTACTGAAACTTATCCTACCTATAGGCTGATATGACCTAAGTAAAATTGCAGCCATCAGAAACTGAAACAGAGCTAAAAATGTTTCAATCTTGTATGCACACACCAAATACTATGGGAATCCACTGTTATATACCATTAGAATGTGACATGGTGAGATTGCATTGTCAAGTTCATACATCTTCAAGGCTCATCACCATCCTTCCACTGATCACAGAAGGATGAATTTGTTGGACTGAAATGGAAGGCATACTGAATACAATGCAACCACTCACAACAGGGATAGGATGCTCGTGTACTGCCCATGAGAAGATGCAGGAAAGCATAACTGAACTTTTCCATGAAAAATGAAGTTATTGGACAAAAGTTAGCACATTAACATGCATGACATGGAAAGACACTGTGAACTAAAGCCTTGTTTGTGAGTTTCATACTGTCATGTGTGATAAAATGTGTATGATTTTAATCAATCAATAACAACTCAAACAGAGAACAGTAATTGCTAATTCTTCTTTTTTGCACTTTGTTCTTTTTTATCTAACAACTGTTATTTAATTTGAAGCTGAATCATTTGGAGGGGGGGCATAAGTTCAGTCAAGAATACTTTCTTATAATTTGAGAAACTCAAGTTATAACTAAGTTTTATATCATTTGGTGGCTTTTTATGTGAATTTCATATGAGTTTAGGTACAGCCAGATACCTCAATTAGTTTTTAGGGTATGTTTCCAGCCAGTTACAAGGCAAAATACTTTGAATTTTTATGTATTTCATTTGTACACATATATTTCCATCTTAAATGCAATTTATTATACATTTACCCTTTTTACTTACTACATGTTTTGGCCACATAAGGCATTCATCAGGTGTTGTCTAGCTTTATAGATAGCAACCTTTTGTGTATATATTATAATATATAACATAACATATATATATAACATAAGATAAAATAATTATTTTATCTTATGTTATAGCCATCACCACAACAAATATTCGTTTGTTGTGTTAATGGCTATAACAGGATAAAATGTTGTCTATCTGGCTAAAATTGTTGTACTGTGTGTCAAAATTATGTATCATGTGTGAATGCAATATTTCCTAATTAAAATAAATTATATATGTCATTCCAAGTTTCATTCAAAGAAAAAATTCAGCTATCACAGACTTGGAAAATTTTGTTGATTGGGTAAGGAATAGTGTTATAAAAGTCATATGTAGGCTTCAACCATCAGGTGAACTGAAGAGTTCACTTTACTTACTGAATCAAATTCAGTGATAGTTACAATCAAAGAAAGCCTTAAAATATCAAGAAGCACTGTATCCTTCAGTTTTCAGTAACAGGTTGCTACATGACTATTTAATGCAAGAAGCCTGAAATAAATGTAAAAATGTGTTTATAATAAACAGTAAATTTGATTTGTCTCATTTTGGTCCGTCACACTACTAATTACAGAGTGGATAATTTTCAGTCCAGTGTGACATACAAGTTTACAACACTTCAGTCTTTTTCGCCTCTGAGGATGATTCTTTTGAATTGAAACATGTAAGGTGAAAAAGACTGAAGTGTTGTAAACTTGTATGTCACACTGGACTGAAAATTATCCACTCTGTATACAGTACACGTTCAAGTTGTAGAATTATGGATTATAGCATTGTATATGTCTATGGTTAACTCAGAAGACCAGAATTTAAATTTTCTCCACTGTGAAAATATCCCGCGTATTACATGTATTCAGGACAGAATCATGGTATTATCTTCTTCCCTCATAAAATCAAAGATTATGTCACCAGGACCGGTTCTAAGACTCCAGATCAATCAGATCATCTTTTCACACAGTAGGTCTTCTTAAGTAGCTTTGGGTTATCCATTCTCTCCATGCCTGTTCTCCAAGTCAATCTAAATTTTTAACAGAATCTGCTCTATGAACAACTCCAAACTCTTTAGTAACTATATCATTTTGTATTTTGTCTCTTCATATAACTCATACCAATGATTTGGGAAATCTCATACTTTTGGCTTTCATCCATTTCCCATTCCTTTTCCTTTCAGGTCCAGCTTTTGGACTCAACATAGTCCTAATGTGTGTGTGTGTGTGTGGATAGTCTTTATTCTTTTGCTATTTGTATCTCCTATACTAAGGGATACAAAAATAATACACAAGGTCTCTATCATGTTATATATTAGCTTTGCAACAATATATCTGTTTCAGTAATAAATGACTATGGAGGTTATGTAGTATACAAAGTTGCAAGCGATGGAGTTGGAAAACATGTGCAGCTGAGTACACCTTTCTGCTCATTTAATATTCTGAAGGATTCATAGAATCCTTTAGAACTGTATTATTAAACATGAAGTGCCTTTTCATTTGTCGTCTTTGTAATCTGTCTTTCATACTTATAAGCTTAATATATTCTTCAACACACTTTAGACAAATGTTTGCATGGATGTAAATTTCAGCTCTTTGTAATGCTAGGGAGCACCCGTTTATTTTATGTATATTACATGTGCTTTTGTTTCACAGAGTGCAGAAGCATCCAGCTACAAAGGAAGTGACTATAACTTCAATAGTGCTAAAAGTTGTAGCAAGAGGAAGTGATGGTATTGCATACTTTCCTCGCAATCCAGAAAATGAACAGAATTTTGCTTACCTCATTGTTGATCCTTATAATCGACAGATTACTACTTTAGTACACCATTATGGAGGAACATTTCAATCCTAAGAACGATACTGGATAAGTCCTACATAAGTAATAAGTTTAAAATGCAAATTTTCAAATTTGCTTCAAGTGGTGTGCAATATATCCATGAACTAATTTCTCAAAAGTAAATTAATAAATCTGGGTTTAGTAGTGATATGTTGTACACACGCACGCACACATTTTATTTTTGTATGATTTTTTAAGTGCCATGTTTCTAAATTAATAATTTTGAGCTCATTTTTGTATGTTTAAATTCCTCAACATTTAATATATAATGTATTATTATTTTTTGTTTTCTTAATTTTTTACCATGTCCAATTTTTTACCAGATGTCCCAGATTTTAGGGGAAAAATGGAAATGTCATGTTTTTCTTAAATATTATGGGAATCCTACTGTAACTGAAATGAATTTCATGAGCACAGCAGGTTACATTTATTTGGATCACAAAAGGACTTTAGATAGATATGTAACCAGCCATGAAATTCATAGGCAACTGCAGATCTAAGGAAAGAAATGATGCTCTTTGAATGCCCCACTAAACAGCATCCCAAATTCTCCATTACAAACCAAAAGGATGAATAATGGTGAGGAGACGATACAAATGATGGCATATGAGACAAAAAGGTCTGAAACAACTTATAGTGCCATGTATACATGCTATTCATGCATAAGAAAACACACAGCTCATATTCCTTCATATTGCGAATGAATATGATGACCAAGAACACTTTTCCATCTATGACAATTCCATTCTCTTCAGCAACTTGCAGTACTTTCCAGTTTTACAGTAATTCATTAAGCATCCATGCTTCTGTGTTAAGTACCAGTCAATTTCTATTATTATGCAATCATATATGAGTAATTGCACACCAAGTTTCCTTAAGATCTATTTTATTTCATAGATTAAGTTTGTCAAGCATTTTTCATCTTTCTTCTCAACCACCCTCCATATGTAAATTCAGCATTTGGCAAGGATCAAGTGTATATTGATCATAAAGAAACCTGACATTCTCATAGTCTATAATGCACAGCATTAGGTAATGTGGAGTCATTAGCATAATGCAAAGATTACAATTCCTGAAATTCTTTATAACAACACAGGGCTGAATTAAAGTAACAACAGAATATATTACGAAAGCTGACAGACACTCAGATAAATAAAAGTCTTCTGTTCACAACATAGAGCCTCAGCATACGTGATCAGTACTGCAATTTCAACCTGAATACAGGTATACAAAGTATCTATTTCAATGTAAATTCTACTACATGAGTTTTGCTGAACACTAAAGTTCAGACCTGCCCAACCTTTGTAGGACTCTGAGCCACTTCATAGTAAATTTTAATTATTATATTTTCATTTCTTCTCAGAATGGTCATAACTTCTGTATGTAAATGTATCTACCACAAATAATGTCAAGAGGCAACATTATGCCCAAGAGTTACAGATTGGATGGGCCTGCTGCAGAAATCAGAAAAAATTCTGAAAATTCATCGAATTTGGTCCGTAAAACGTTCATTACAGTGAAAAACTGACACTTTGGCACATAAACCACACATGTTTACATTGTAAGGAGAGAGGAATTGTGGCAAGTTAATATCTCACACAATATCCCATAGTGTATGGGTTCTCTCATGCAAAAAGCACAATCTTGCAACTTCTTAAATCTACAGGTCTGATTTCTCATATGAGAAGCATGAACATGCTGGGAATAAAAGTGTCAAATTTCCTTTTGTGACCACTGTCAACATATCAAGTTTCAACAAAATAATTAACAGAATTAATTTGTGCATCTTCAACTTTTCCTTACACACAGAGCACCGGCTATAAAACCTGTTCAAATCATATGAAGCACATACCTAAATACACAGCTGCTGGTGTGAGTACAAAACACGTGTGTGGGGGAGGGGGGCAGGTAGTGAGGCATCAAGCCCTACCCTGGATTTCTTTCTGGGGAGGGGGGGCTGAAAACTGAAGAAAAGCAGCAAATACATCAATGTATTTTTCTATCTTGAATATTCTAGGACACACATGCAGTTTTAAATGTACAACCTACTGAAATGAAGCACACACTAAAATGCTCTGGTGCTGATATGCGGGCAGCGGGGGGTGGAGGGGGCTGCCCTTTTCTGGATTTTTGGAATAAATCAAAATTAAAGAAAAAAAGGTAATATACTGAATATTAATAATAAAAATTATTTAAAAATATATTTTTCTATTCTGAGTACTCCAGGGTGACCAGTAAAAACAGTTTTATGCAACTTACATGTTTGTATAGAAATTTCCTGGTTGCTTCCCTTAGAAGAAAATCATGGCTGTGTCCATGTGTAAATGTAATTAATAATTAACACTGCACTAGGGAATATGTAACATATTTGAGCATCCTGTTGCATTGATGTACCACTCACCCATTCACCTCCGTCTTTAGTGCAACTTAAAAGTTTTCACAATCTTTCTTCAATTTAAAATAACATTAAAATCACATCAACTGTTACATGTTTTGGCCTTATGTGGCCATCTTCAGGCAACTGTTCACTTTTTGAAACTGTTGCACTGCACTAGATCTTAAGTCAATATACTCATAATATACAACCAAAACAAAACTAACATTGAACAAACACTCAACGAATTAAACAACTTGCAGCCATCCATGAAATTTACTATAGAGAAATAACTACATAAAGAGATCAACTTCTTATATCTCATAATATATCACAAAGACAAAAAGTCTTAATCCAATATGATCTGAACCGCCAACTTCTGACACCAAAATGTCACATGTAGGGTGGTACGTGACATAAATAATGGATTCTAGTTCAGATGATTGGATTTATTAACACCTTCCTTTACAAACATTCTTAAGCATAGGCAATACAGTGATATCGCTGATTTACACAATTTCCAGTTCACTGTTGCACATGCAGTATAATTCTACATCTTAACTAGTCGTCTCCTGGCAACGGATCTCAACACAGAAACTAGCACTTCAAATCAGTATGAAGTTTTCTTGTGAGTTCGTCTTCAGCAACTCTGTAGTCCTCTGTCCTAATCTGTATTCAGTCTTCACAATCCACTAAAGGCACACTCCATTCTCATCCCTGTACTCTCAACTGCTGAACCCTCCTGGACTCTCTTTAGCTGCAAGCGGACTCGTGTTATAGAGCTGCAGTATGGACAATGCAGAAAACACAGTTCTGTTGCTGTGTAGTGCAGACAACATAGAAAACAAGTTATATGATAGCTATCTCGCCAGTCAGTGGCCTCCGTAGTCTAGAGGTAATGTTCCCACCTCATGACTCGTAGTACACGGGTTCAAATACCCAGCAGAGGTCATTGAATTTTTAAGGGCAGAAAAATTCAGGGAACAAGTCCTCCGGGAGGGACTTTAAGCTGTGGGTCCTGTGTCGTAGCTTTACGGCACGTAAAAGAACCTCATATCTCCAAAGGAGGTCACTGAGCCAAATTACGGACGTTTCCCGCCCAACAGCAGTCTCTAATACCTCTGGTAGATGGGGGAAGCATTATAGATACCTCTCAGCTAGTAGAGCCGGTCTCACTGGCTGGGCGGGACTGATGGTAAGCACCAGTACCGGTAGGATATAGAGACTGGTAGAAATCATAGAGGGAAGCACAATGGACCAATACAGGTCTAAGTGCATGGGGAAACCCACCCTCTCCAATAACTAACTAACTAACTATCTCGCTTACTGACTGAAAAAAATATNCTAGTAATGAGCTATAAACATTCATCCCATTGTTGCATGTGCGTATCGCAGGATGTTTATCAAGCCATTGCCTGGCAATGCACCGACATGTCCCAATACATACAATGATAATGCAATAGCATGGAAATATATTGACTTAAGATTTAGTGAAGTACAACAGTTTCAAAAAGTGAACAATTACCTCAAGATGTGACTTTAATGTTATTTTAAATTAAAGAGAGACTGTGAACATTATTAAGTTGCATTAAAGATGGAGGCAAATGAGCGAGAGAATATGTAATTTATAAATGAGGAATGGAATCAAAATTGATATAAAGCTGAGCATGTTTCTATAATATAAGATAGTAATCAAATCACTTGTAACCGTTTACTAGTGAACTTGAATGTGTGAGGCCCTGGAGGGGAGGTGCCTACGTGATAATAGCACGGCATTATTTCACATGTGCAGTTTTGCAGATGGAGAATGGGTGGTGGATCCCCGGATTGATGTGGGGAATGATGTCATCTAGGGTGTGGTGCTGGGAAGGCCCGTAGGTCCGTTAGCGTCGCCGAGCCAGTAGTAGGCAACAGATAATAAGAGACCCTCCTAGTGAGTGGAGGCACTTGCTTTGTTTCTTCATAGAATCGCCTTTGTAAGCGGAACAGTGTAAATGTAACTGCCATAAATAGTGATTGTGACCAAAAATGAGTATATTAAACCTAAGGTAAAGCCACGGGTTAGTCGTGTTAAAGTTTCTCCGAAGAAAGACCTGTTATCGACCTGAGATAGGAATCCATGCCTACCATTATCCTAAATCCAACCTGGTTAACTCAGTACCCAATTAGCCAAGAAGGGGTAAAGGTGGAAGGAGCGGCGACGAGAAGGAAAGGAGCGGCCGGAGCAGCGGGCACAAAAGAAGAAGAGGAGGGACGGTAGAACACTCTATTAGTTTTTGTTTGCTGGATTCACAAAAATTAAAATATGGAAACAATAACCACAAATAAAAGAAAACTTAAGACAGTTCTATCTTGTTCACTGTTCATTCAGATTCTTGTCAGGGAGATAAGAAATTCATACAAAAATGCTTGTTGATAAGCCTGAAAGGAAGAAACCATTCTTTCCACAGCTATGCCAAATGTTCTCTTCTCTCTTCACATTCCTCCTCAGCAATCCCCATAATCACCCTTTTCTCTGCCTCTCCTGACTGGCCAGCAAGTAATTCAAATTAAAGTAGAAGTGCCGTTAATTGAAACTGGTATAAATTAGTTAGGATATTAAAATTAAATGGTATTTTTCGAACTTGTATGTTACAAGGAGTAATGTGCATAACCCAAACTGGTCTACTATTGTGTGACTCATCACTGCATAATAACAAACTTCCTTACTTTCATTCCCAACATATGCATCTAATGGCGACATATATTTGGCATTTACAATAATCAATATCAAATATTATATATAGAATTCTAGTAATTTACATTAAGTCTTATGAGAGAAAGTTACTTTGTTAATCTAAATGATTCTTTTGAACCAGTGACTTACAATATTAGGATAATGATCTGAATTTTTTTAATCGAAGGT